GCTTCGGCCCTTGGGTCCCGCCTCTCAACTGTCAATCAACTGGTGTACAGATTCCTGAGCCTACTGGGCTCTATCATATCTACACGTGAAACTGTGTATGGAGTCAGCCTCCACCACATCACTACCTAATGCATTCCATCTGTTAACTACTCTGACACTGAAAAAGTTCCTTCTAACGTCTCTGTGGCTCATGTGGGTACTCAGTTTCCACCTGTGTCCCCTTGTTCGCGTCCCACCAGTGTTGAATAGTTTATCCTTGTTTACCCGGTCAATTCCTCTGAGGATTGTGTAGGTTGTGATCATGTCTCCCCTTACTCTTCTGTCTTCCAGTGTCGTAAGGTGCATTTCCCGCAGCCTTTCCTCGTAACTCATGCCTCTTAGTTCTGGGACTAGTCTAGTGGCATACCTTTGGACTTTTTCCAGCTTCGTCTTGTGCTTGACAAGGTACGGGCTCCATGCTGGGGCCGCATACTCCAGGATTGGTCTTACATATGTGGTGTATAAGATTCTGAATGATTCCTTACACAGGTTCCTGAAGGCTGTTCTGATGTTAGCCAGCCTGTGTGTGTGTGTGAGTACTCACCTACTCACCTATGTGAGTGTGAGTGTGTGTGTGTGTGTGTGTGTGTGTGTGTGTGTGTGTGTGTGTGTGTGTGTGTGTGTGTGTGTGTGTGTGTGTGTGGATCGGTCATTTTGCAATGCATCAAATTTCTCCTCTGTTCTACCTCTTATTAGTTTTACATCAACAAACATTGATACGAAGTATAACAAAAACACGAGTTACGCCACACACATTACCTCTTCACTTTGGTGTCTCCTCTTAAGAGTGACTTGACGCCCGTTAGTTACCATTCATCCACATACACTACTCTATAAAGGTAGTGACAACACTTGTCCATTTGTCCATTTCAAGACGGTTCGCAAATGGACTTTAAAGCCTACTTAATCTAACTCAAACCAACCTAATTTAATCCAACGGAGCGTAACATAGAATAACTGAACGATTGATATGATTGGCAATCGAAGCGCGAGCTTTATCGAACCGTCTTGTGGATGAATTAACCAGACCCCAGTTCTTAACATGTTTGTTTTCTTACTCTCTTAGAAAACGGCTCCCATACAAAAACTTGGAAACAGGAAACTAATGGAAGAACCTATGGCGACATCTACTTTTTATACACAAAATCATGAGGACTTCTCTATCTGTGATTACATATCAGTGTCTACGGGGGAGCGAGATCTAGCTACTGGATTCCGGTTGACTTTGTCCATAATCGCATGAACAGACTCATCGACGGCCACGTTGATGAGTCTGTTCATGAACAGGGACTCAATATCTACAGATTATCTTGTATAGAGGATGTGAACCTTGCAACAAGTCAACAAAGTCATTTGGGGACGGCGCCCACTACCCCCTACCGGAGATAGGGGGAGAGGAAACTCTCTCCCTTCCCTACCTCAGGTGGGGCAGAGGTCCCTCCCCGACACCCCTACCTCATGTGAGGCAGAGGTCCCTCCCCCACACCCCTATCTCAGGTGAGGCAGAGGTCCCTCCCCCACACCCCTACCTCAGGTGAGGCAGAGGTCCCTCCCCCACATCCCTACCTCAGGTGGGGCAGAGGAACCTCCCCCACACCCCTACGTGAAATATGGAAGCTGGTCAGAATTACATTTCACCTTTGCAAATGCACATTAATGACAATATGTAAAAGACACATCGAACACTTTAAGTAGGGCATACGTAAATCTGTGTATCTATGTATTTACGTATGTAGGTTAGCTTAGCATTTTAAAAGCACCGAATCACCTTCTGTGGTTGAGTGTTCAATAAACCCCTAAACTATATGTTTAACACTTCTCTAACCCTGTCCATGGAGGACAGAAGAAAATGTATATATGCTGGTTAGCATTGTAAATGTGTGGCCACGTCTGTGGTAGAAAATAATAATAACAAAAAATAATAAACCCCTACGTGAGGTTGGACAGTGCCCCCCCCCCCCTACCTTTCACTTCACCAAACAGTTGTACACAACTAAGGATAACACGACTCAAGAATAGTTAGATTCTGCATATCAGAAATATTTAATAATTAAGAAAAAATCGTACAAGCCGCAGATGAACACTAATAAACTGCTTTAGGCCTTTGGGCATAGATTTTGCGATTGTCTTAGCACTATCAAATGTGAGAAAATGAGGAACTGAATATCAATGAAGCTTTCAAAGAAAAAAGTCATAATGCATTTTGGTTATACTTTCTGAAACGTGGGGAAGAAATGTCATAATCTACGGAAGGAATTTGAGGTAGTGCGCCTTGCAAGATGTGCCACAACAACTGAAGTAAGTGATGCGGGAGGAAGATTAAGACACTCGGTGATAAACATATGTTGGTCATCAACACAAAAAGACAGTACTATCAACATCAGGAGCTTCCTATCAACAAATATATAAAATACTGCTACAACGTATTTAGAAGTATTAAAGAGCTCGGCAGACTTCAGAAGAAGGTGCCCGATAAGATACGCTATGTTAAGTCATTTAAGGGTATACCACGGGCACAGTTTACAGTATAGCGTATACCATATCCTAATGTTTGTGGACTATATGTATTCTATAGTCCCTCTTGTTAAGATAGTACGGATTTTCCACTTACAAAAAGTACAATATACTATTACAACAAGTACTATCTAAAGTTGTTGTTGTTGTTAAAGATTCGCTACCTGGAACTAAAAGATCCAAGTAGCACGGTCTATGGTGAGCCCGTAGTGGAGTATCTAAAGTACTATATACAATATATTACAAAAAGTTCTATCCAAACAGGAGGATGGGTTGATATTCTAGTACACGGGAAGTAATGGACACAGGTGCGCACTAGGCTATGAATTAGGTAAAGAAACAATGCGCTTAAGAGATGCCGAACCGCGCGCTCGGGGTCCAGTATGTACACACACACACACACACACACACACACACACACACACACACACACACACACACACACACACACACACACACACACACACACTCAAGGATAAGACTAAACTGGAAAAGGTTCAAAGGTTTGCCACCAGACTAGTACCCGAGCTGAGAGGTATGAGCTACGAGGAGAGACTACGGGAATTAAACCTCACTTCGCTGGAAGACAGAAGAGTTAGGGGGGACATGATCACCACATTCAAGATTCTGAAGGGGATTGATAGGGTAGATAAAGACAGTCTATTTAACACAAGGGGAACACGCACAAGGGGACACAGGTGGAAACTGAGTGCCCAAATGAGCCACAGAGATATTAGAAAGAACTTTTTTAGTGTCAGAGTGGTTGACAAATGGAATGCATTAGGGGGTGATGTGGTGGAGGCTCACTCCATACACAGTTTCAAGTGTAGATATGACAGAGCCCGATAGGCTCAGGAATCTGTACACCTGTTGATTGACGGTTGAGAGGCGGGACCAAAGAGCCAGAGCTCAACCCCCGCAAACACAACTAGGTGAGTACAACTAGGTGAGTACACACACACACACACACGGGAGGCGGGACCAAAGAGCCAGAGCTCAACCCCCGCAAGCACAACTAGGTGAGTACACACACACACACACACACACACACACACACACACACACACACACACACACACACACACATATTAAGTGTCTAATAACAGATTACTTTCTATAGAAGTAATCTTACCCTGTCAAAGCCTCTGGCTTCCCACCTTGGGCACATTCTCTCTTATATAAATTGACAATTATGTTATTACCAAAATGCCTCGCCTCCAATGTGTATTTCATTGTCATGTATAGCAGTTGCAGTGCAAGACGTGTTTTGTTGCCACCTGTCATTATACTTAAATGGTTTGCAGATCAATTGCAAAAGCTAATGTTATACATGCACCGGAGTCTGACCAGGACCTTATGTGTCCTGTATAAACCATTTGAGTTCCCAGTCAATGAGTTGTGTACCTGGAAACATGAGACACTAGACACAAAGTCGCTTTGTACCTGGCAACCAGTTACTGGTTCACCCGAAACCAAAAGACGTTTCGTGCCTTCCCAGGCACTAAGGGTAGCAAGGTTACATTAAGTAATAAACACACACGTACCTGGCTATGGGCTCGGGGTACAGGGGCTACGCGACACACGTACCTGGCTATGGGCTCGGGGTACAGGGGCTACGCGACACACGTACCTGGCTATGGGCTCGGGGTACAGGGGCTACGCGACACACGTACCTGGCTATGGGCTCGGGGTATAGGGGCTACACCACACACGTACCTGGCTATGGGCTCGGGGTATAGGGGCTACACCACACACGTACCTGACTATGGGGGCGGGGTATAGGGGCTACGCGACACACGTACCTGACTATGGGCTCGGGGTACAGGGGCTACACGACACACGTACCTGACTGTGGGCTCGGGGTATAGGGGCTACACGACACACGTACCTGGCTATGGGCTCGGGGTACAGGGGCTACGCGACACACGTACCTGGCTATGGGCTCGGGGTACAGGGGCTACAACACACACGTACCTGGCTATGGGCTCGGGGTACAGGGGCTACACGACACACGTACCTGACTATGGGCTCGGGGTACAGGGGCTACAACACACACGTACCTGGCTATGGGGGCGGGGTATAGGGGCTACACCACACACGTACCTGGCTGTGGGCTCGGGGTATAGGGGCTATACCACACACGTACCTGGCTGTGGGCTCGGGGTACAGGGGCTACACCACACACGTACCTGGCTATGGGCTCGGGGTACAGGGGCTACACCACACACGTACCTGGCTATGGGCTCGGGGTACAGGGGCTACACCACACACATACCTGACTATGGGGGCGGGGTATATGGGCTACACCACACACGTACCTGGCTATGGGCTCGGGGTATAGGGGCTACACCACACACGTACCTGGCTATGGGCTCGGGGTATAGGGGCTACACCACACACGTACCTGGCTATGGGCACGGGGTACAGGGGCTACACGACACACGTACCTGGCTATGGGCTCGGGGTCCAGTTGGTACCACTTGTCGATGGGGTCGGTGTTGATAAGCCTGGCCAGGGCGGCCTCCGTCAGCTGGACTATGCCAGTGTTGGGGTCGGCGCTCCACTGCCCCGGGGAGAGTGCCAGGCTCCAGCTGCCAGGCTGATGGTCCTCGGCCATCGTCATGAGCACTGTGGCACTCAGGTCACGATGCTCCAGTGTTACCCCCGCGCCTCCTTCAAGTTCCACTCACTTCTCTACCACTGACAACCACTTGATAACTAAGACGGATCTAGAGTTATCCATTCTTGGGGTATTAAGACCACTTCACTTTTGCTGTGTCGCTCAATTATGATCTAAAACATCGAGGGAACACTGTAGTATTTTCAACCTAAAACAGCAGATAACTTTCAAACTTAATTCGCAATGCTGAGATCTTTTAAAATACAATCAGCGGCGTATTTATTCCCGAATAAGAAGACTTGCGAGAGGCGTCACGAGGGGAGAGGTGCGGGTCAGGAGGAAGAGTGTCGCTCGTCCCTGCTCGTGGCCGCCACCAGGCCAACACTGACTCCCCGCCGACCTCAGCCCTGCCTCGCGCCCGCACACTCACGCCTCTACACCCACGCCTCTACACCACGACACTCACGCCTCTACACCCACGCCTCTACACCACGACACTCACGCCTCTACACCACAACACTCACGCCTCTACACCCACGCCTCTACACCACAACACTCACGCCTCTACACCACAACACTCACGCCTCTACACTCACGCCTCTACACCACAACACTCACGCCTCTACACCCACGCCTCTACACCACAACACTCACGTCTCCAACCCGTCCTCGACTCAAGTCCATTCCATCCTGCGGTCGACCCCCTACAGACGCATTCATAAATTTTAAAATGCTGTTCATTCAAAACGGGAATTTTCTCAAATATAAATTAATATTATAATATATTAGCATATTGTGTATATATAGGCATAGGTTAGGTTAGATGTTTAGGTTCTTTTGGTATTTGTATTTGTAGTACGTGGGTGAAGCATTTACAGCATTGTGGTTCGAACAAAATTCGTCAGTGAAGCACTTGTTCCGGAAATGTTCGAACGTCAGCAGTTGTGAGTCGTGTGTAAACCGCTTTTCCTTCATAAACAGGGGGTTTGGCGGGTGCATGGAATCACTTTTGGATCTTTGTTTGGAGGACGGGCTGGTTTACAGTGTTGTGGTTCGAACAAAATTCGTCAGTGAAGCACTTGTTCCGGAAGTGTTCGAACGTCAGCAATTGTAAGTCGTGTGTAAACCGCTTTTCCATCATAAACAGGGGGGAATTGGTGGGTCATGGAATCACTTTTGAGTCTGTTTGGAGGACGGGCTGCGGGCTGGGTTGCAACAGCTTGGAAAGTATCTCAATCACTAGAACGTGTTGAACGGCTCCGGTCCTCGACACTGTTGTTTACGCAATAATTGTCGTCTTCTCTGATGTTGTTCCTGCCTCTTTCTCGCGTCTATATATTTTCCCTTTATTTTGTATATTGTTTATTTTAGGTTTTAACTTTAGTAATTTTTAATTCCTTTCATGAGATATATTATTTTAAGCCATATGTTAATGTTTGAAGGTAATCTTGCGCTGTGTGTGTTCTTTTATTTAGCACTGCTAAGGAAACTGTTTTGAAATGTGTTATTTTAAATAGACTAAAAAATATGTATATCTTTTTACTTATATATTTACTAGGAAAAGTATATATATATATATATATATATTATTAAATATGACCGAAAAAGTAAGATTAATAATTCTAACACGAATTTTCTCAATCTTTCGTACATTACGCTTCACTGTTGGAGGTAAATCAAAAATCACTTCTCCAAAATTCATTTTTATTTTTAGTCTGACGCGACACGGGCGCGTTTCGTAAAACTTATTACATTTTCAAAGACAGATTGTCTTTGAAAATGTAATAAGTTTTACGAAACGCGCCCGTGTCGCGTCAGACTAAAAATAAAAATGAATTTTGGAGAAGTGATTTTTGATTTACCTCCAACAGTGAAGCGTAATGTACGAAAGATTGAGAAAATTCGTGTTAGAATTATTAATCTTACTTTTTCGGTCATATTTAATAATATATGTCTACAGGAAAGACTGCTACCAAAATATACTAATATATATATATATATATATATATATATATATATATATATATATATACTTATTCGGTCATATACACTTTTATACTTTTCGGTCATATTATTAAATATGACCGAAAAAGTAAGATTAATCATTCTAACACGAATTTTCTCAATATTTCTTATGTTTCTTTTCACTGCCAATGGTAATTGAAAAATCCATTCTCCAAAATTAATTTTTATTTCTAGTCTGATGCGACACTTGAATGCGTTTCGTAATAACTTATTACATTTTCAAAGACTTTAGTTTACACACACACACACAACTATAACCTGCAAACACTAAACAGAGTTCTACAATGCTATAATTCAAATGGCTTTCATTTTATATACCTGCATTTGGGTGAGGTGATATGTTACAACAGTTTTGGATGAGGTGAAAACAAACTTTCAACACAAGACAGAACACGAAACAGTGGGTATAATATTGGGTAAGTTAAAGGGAAGAATGGAAGAAACTGCAGAGGGCCTATTGGCCCATATTTCTTGATACTTCTATATTGGTGCGGAGTCTTGAAGTGAAGGAGGCATTTGAGCGGAATTCTGTGTTGCGTTTCACTTACGAGATGGAGAAGGATGAGAAGCTGCCCTTTCTAGATGTAACAGTCATGGAAAGGAGCGGAGGTTTCCACACTGCAGTCTACACTAAGGAAACAAATATAGGAATGTGCCTAAATGCCAACAATGACTGCCCAGACAGGTACAAGAGGAGTGTTGTTAACGCTTATGTCGACCGTGCTCTCAGCCACAGCTCAGGATGGAAGCAAGTCGATGACGAACTCTGTAGGGTAAGGCAGGTCCTAGTCAACAACGGCTTCTCCAACGGTTTCGTTGAAGACATCATAAGAAGGAAGGTGAAACGCCATGCAAACTCTGAAGAGACAACTAACACAACACCTATACCCGCTATTAGACTATTTTGCAGGAACTTCTTTTCCACAGCTCATAAAACGGAGGAAAGGGTCCTGAAAGATATTGTTAATAGAAACGTTATCCCTACAGACAAAAATCAGAAGATACAACTGACGATTTACTATAAAACCAAAAAAACGGCCAGCCTACTCATGAGAAACTCTCCAGACACAAAGCAAAACGCTTTAAAAGAGACCAACGTCGTCTATGCCTTCAAATGCCCACTTGGGGACTGTAAGCCTCAAAGAACTCAGTATATAGGCAAGACAACAACATCTCTTTCCAGGCGATTAACGATGCATAAGCAACAGGGCTCCATTAACGAACATATAATCTCTTCCCACAACCAGACCATCACCAGAGAAGTCTTAACAAAAAACACAAAAATCATCGATAGAGACAGCGATAGCAGGCGGCTTGATATCTGCGAGGCACTACACATCAAGAAGTGAACACCAGCAATCAACAGCCAATTAATGCACAACTATATTCTACCCACCTCAAGACTCCGCACCAATATAGAAGCATCAAAAAATATGGGCCAATAGGCCCTCTGCAGTTTCTTCCATTCTTCCCTTTAACTTACCCAATATTATACCAACTGTTTCGTGTTCTGTCTTCTGTTGAAAGTTTGTTTTCACCTCATCCAAAACTGTTGTAACATATCACCTCACCCAAATGCAGGTATATAAAATGAAAGCCGTTTGAATTATAGCATTGTAGAACACTGTTTAGTGTTTGCAGGTTATAGTTGTGTGTGTGTGTGTGTAAACTAAAGTCTTTGAAAATGTAATAAGTTATTACGAAACGCATTCAAGTGTCACGTCAGACTAGAAATAAAAATGAATTTTGGAGAATTGATTTTTCAATTACCATTGGCAGTGAAAAGAAACATAAGAAATATATATATATATATATATATATATATATATATATATATATATATATATATATATATATATATATATATATATGTCGTACCTAGTAGCCAGAACTCACTTCTCAGCCTACTATGCAAGGCCCGATTTGCCTAATAAGCCAAGTTTTCATGAATTAATTGTTTTTCGACTACCTAACCTACCTAACCTAACCTAACCTAACTTTTTCGGCTACTTAACCCAACCTAACCTATAGAGATAGGTTAGGTTAGGTTAGGTAGGGTTGGTTAGGTTCGGTCATATATCTACGTTAATTTTAACTCAATGAACAAAAATTGACCTCATACATTATGAAATGGGAAGCTTTATCATTTCATAAGAAAAAATTTAGAGAAAATATATTAATTCAGGAAAACTTGGCTTGTTAGGCAAATCGGGCCATGCATAGTAGGCTGAGAAGTGAGTTCTGGCTACTAGGTACGACATATATATATATATATATATATATATATATATATATATATATATATATATATATATATATATATATATATATATATATATATATATATATATGAAGCTATCAAAAACGACATCGGTGAGGAGCTTATAACACAACACATCCCTAAAGCAACCCGCCCCCATGCAGCAGCCAAATTATCCGCCCTCCTGAGAAAGGTCAACAACTCTCCTGGAACGACCCAAGCATGGCACAACCTCCTACTGTTTGGCAACATATGTCTAGCCACCCCTGCAAGGAGAGACAAAACTTTTGCTGCCTAAATCATCAAAGCCATAAATGATTTTCCAAGGGAGGATAACCAGGTGTGCCTTCCCACTCGCGCGATATCATCGATGGCAGGAAAAGCAACAGTGGCGTATCCAAGACATCAAAAATCAGAGTATTAGTCACCAATAAAATAGAAGGAGGAAACACTATAGGCGCAATAAGAGTCATCACCAGTGAGGACTCAATTGCTGACAGAGATGCCGCAACAGCTCAAGCCCTAAGGGAGAAACACCCACCCAGGGCTCCGCGTGAGGACGACATTGTACAAGTGGGGGCTACCGGAACAGAACCTCTCTGGGTGGCTGAATCTGTGGTCCATAAAGCAGCCTTGTCCTTCCCAACAGGATCAGCAGGTGGGTTCACACGACTAAAACCCAACCACATGAAACAAATGCACAACCCTCCACTGGGTGACATTGCACAGGGCCTCTTGGTGGAACTAACCAGATTCACCAACACATGTCTAGCTGACAACATACTAGAGACCATAAGACCTATCTTTTTTGGAGCATCTCTCTGTGCTCTAAAGAAAAAGAGTGGAGGGATCAAGCCAATAGCTGTGGGCAATTCCCTCCGGCGTCTCGTCACAGAGGCTGCTTCGAGAACAGTTAGCGAGGCAGCGGCCAACATGGTAAAGCCAAAACAGCTCGGGTTCGGCATTCCACAAGGGTGTGAAGCGGCAGCTCATGCAGCTCGAGCTTTTGCTGCAAACATCACCGACGAAAAGGCCCTGATCAAGCTGGATTTCAAAAATGCCTTCAATTTGGTGTTGAGGGAT